GAGCGCCGCCGCGCTCCCAAGCGGCGCACTGCAGCAGTGCGCCACCGGGCCGGCCCTTTATATGAAGTTCTCACAAATAAATTTTTAAAATGAACACTCTCAGAGAAAAATAGGCCAAGACATAAAGAAACAAGAGTTAAATAAATGAAAATGTCTTATATCATAATCAAATAAACGAATAGTAAAGTAGTGAGCTAATTTTTTTGTCAACTAGATGACAAAAAAAAAAGAATGATAACACCCAGTACTAGCAAAAGTGGAAAAAGAAACCTAAAGAAAACTCTAGATTGGAGCATAAAGAGCTATAACATTTCCTGAAGGTAATTTGGATGTATGAGGAGTCTTTCAAAAGTTCATGGAAGTAGTGTATTATGAAAAAACTATGCATGGATTTCAAAACTTTTTTGCACCAAAATAAACTTTTAATAACTTGTTATAACATGTCTGAACAGGATCTAGTTTGAGGCACTAAAAAGGATAAGATTTCAGCTGGAAAAGATACCCTATTAGAGCAACATGAATTCTGCTAAAATCGAAGCAAGAACAAACATCAAATTTATAGTGAAGCTTAGGTAGAGGAATGGTGAAATCACTGAGGCTTTACAAAAAGTTTATACGGACAATGCCCCAAAGAAATCAGCAGCTTAAAAATGGATTACTCATTTTAAGAGAGGACCAGATAATGCTGAAAATGAAGCCTGCAGTAGCAGACCATTCACATCAAAGGAAAAAAATTAATCTTGTTCATGCCCTAATTGAAAAGGATTAACAGCAGAAACAACAGCCAACACCACTGACATCTCAACTGGTTCATCTTACACAATTCTGACTGAAAAATTACAGTTGTGGGCTGTGGGTTACAGCATGGTGTTATAAACCAAGGTCAAAGGTCTGGATCCCTATACTGGCCAGCTGCCAAAAAAAAAAATTACAGTTGAACAAACTTTCTACTTGATGCATGCCAAAACTGTTGTGCCCAGATCAGCTGCAGAGAAGAGCAGAGTTTTCAATTGACATTTTAAACAAATGGGATCAAAATCCTGAAGCATTCCCTCATAGGACTGTAACGGGTGGTGAAATATGGCTTTACCAGGATGATCCTGAAGACAAAGCACAATCAAAGCAATGGCTACCAAGAGGCGGACATGATCCAGTCAAAGCAAAAGTGGCCAGTCGAAGCAAAGGTTGTGGCAACAGTTTCTTGAGATGTTCAAGGTATTTTGATTGTTGACTTTCTGGAGGACCAAAGAACGGTAACATCTGCTTATTATAATAGTGTTTTGAGAAAGTAAGACAAAGCTTTAGCAGAAAAATGCCCAGGAAAGCTTCGCCAGAAAGCCCTTCTCCACCATGACAATGCTCCTGCTCATTCCTCTCATCAAACAAAGGCAATTTTGAGAGAGTTTCAATGGGAAATCATTAGGCATCCACCTTCCAGTCCTGACTTGGCTCCTTTGACTTCTTTTTGTTTCCTAATCTTAAAAAATCTTTAAAGGGCCCCCATTTTTCTTCACTTAATAATGTGAAAAAGACTTCATTGACATGGTTAAATTCCCAGGACCCTCAGTTCCTTGGGGATGAACTAAACGGCTGTTATCACTGCTTACAAAAGTGTCCTGAACTTGGTGGAGGTTATGCTGGGAAATAAAGTTCATAATTTTATTTTTATCTTTTAGTTCCATTTTTCCATGAACTTTTTGAAGTCCCCTGGTATATATAAAAAAAACTCAAACACATATACTCTTTTTCCAGTTCTAGGAATTTAAGAAACTACTCAGACTAATTCAGAAAAATGTTTGCAGAGCACTCACAACAGCATTATTTATAATAATGAAAAAATGGAGGGCCGGCCCTGTGGCGTACTCGGTGGAGTGCGGCGCTTGGGAGCGCGGCGGCGCTCCCGCCAAGGGTTCGGATCCCATATAGAGACTGGTCCGCTCACTGGTTGAGTGCGGTGCGGGCGCGACACCAAGAGTTGCGATCCCGATACCGGTCATGAAAAAATACAAAAAGGAAAAAAAAAAAAATGGAAACAAAGAAAAGGTTAAGTTATACATCCATACAATAGAATAGTTAAGTAGCTGTTAAAAAAAATCAAGTCATCTGAATGGTTAATGAAATCAGATTATGTTATTTTAGTCATCTTTGCTATAAATTCCTACCTGGTCTCCAAAGAAAATGTAAATGATTTAGGTTTTTGTTCAATGACAAAACAATGCTCAAAGCAGAATATAAAACCATATATAAGCCAAATTTTATTTTTTAAATGTATGTGCGTGTACACACACCACATTTATATATATATATATAAAATATCAAAAGAAAATATGCCACAATAGTATTTTTCAGTGGTGGGATTATGGGTGACTATTTATTAATCGTTTCTGTATTTTCTATAATAAACATATTGTTTTCATAAATTTTTAAATCAATAAAACTTTTTAAATCAACTAAAATTATATCCAAAAGGAGTTTTAAAACTTATTTTTTAGTCTAGATTATCTACTATGATCTTGGTCATAGGTATTTCACTGTTACATAAGTATGACAATTCTATATGCAAATCTGTCTTTTAGTTACCAACCCCAAATGAGCCATGACTGCCTGAAGGCAGAAGATCTACAGATAATGATGATGTATCATTAACATTGCCACTCAAAAGGTAGTATATATTTTGTACGTTTTGAGTGGAAATGTTAATATATATATAGATGAGCCTTTATATATGTGTGTGTGTGTGTGTATAGATGAGTCTTTCCTGCCTGAAAAAAAACAATTTTTTTTTAAATTATTTTTTAAGCCTACAGCACCCAGTATTCCCAGGTGATCTGCTATCCAAGTACTAACTAGGCCCGACCCTGCTTAGCTTCTGAGATCAGACGAGATCAAGTATGTTCAGCACAGTATGGTTCAAAACTTTTTTAAAGACATTTCTGTAAGATATAGAAACTTAAGGGCTGATACATCTATACACTGTTTTTTTCAGTTCAGTATTCTAAGAAACCATCAGAAATAGTTCCTTTTCTGGTGGGGTAAGAGGTTTGTATGTTCCTACTGTTTGAACTATGAACCATTTTTGTCCCTTTTTTATATTTGATTTTTTTTTAACTTTTGTTTTGTTTGCTGCTTACCATGGAGCACTTCTCCAGTACTTCCTTCTGGAACTTCAGGAATCCTTCCTGAACCTCAACTTCATTGAGGAAAAAAGCAAGGAAATGAGTGAAGGGCTGCTTTCTTCTAAAAGTGTCCAGAAGAACGTCAATCCGAGTTCGGGCTGAAATTACACCATTTCGGTGCTGGCCAGTGATTACTGCAAGCAAAGAAAAAAGGACAAGCTCAATATGTGTACATAAATCTTAACAGGAGACAATGCCGAGTTAAGAAAGCTGCTAATGAATTCAATCTAAGCAGAAAGAGGGTTAAAAATACAATATCCTTAAGATTAGCTGATAAATTAGAAAAATGAGTTCAGGTTGGTCCAGATGTAGTGTGGTGTTTACAACTAACTGATCACAATCAGTTACAGATTTCTTTGTTCCTTCTCCACACCCACTGCTTCACTTAACTAGCCTCAAGAAAAATCTAAAAAATAAAATAAAATAAAATGAAAAATGAGCTCAAAAGCTACAAATCAAACCCTCACACATCACTGGTAGAAATGTAAAATGGTACAGCTGCTATGGGAAAGTTTGATAGTTCCTTAAAAAGCTGGATATAGGATTATCACATGACCCAGACATTCGATTCTTAGGGATAACCAAAATAAGTAAAAACAGGTGTTCAAAAAAAACTTGTAGTTTGATAGTTCCTTAAAAAGCTGGATATAGGATTATCACAAGACATTCGATTCTTAGGGATAACCAAAATAAGTAAAAACAGGTGTTCAAAAAAAACTTGTACACCAATGTTCATAGCAGCTCTATTCACAATAGCCAAAAGAGAAAAGCAACATAAATGTCCATCAACTAGTAAACAGATAAAGTATGGTATTTCCATATAATGGAATATTATTCAGCCATAAAAATGAGTAAGTACTAATACATGATAATTACAGATGAACCTTGAAAACATTATGCTAATTAAAAGAAGCCAGACACAAAAAGCCACATACTGTGTGTTTCCACATTTAGGAAATATCAAGAACAGGCAAATTCATTGAGACAGAAAGCAGATTAGTGGTAGCCCAAGGGCTGGAGGTAGGGAGAATGGGGAGTGACCTTTTAATGAGTCTGGGACTTCCTTTGGGGATGACAGAATGTTCTGGAAGTAGTAGTAGTGATGGCTGCACAAGATTGTGACTGTACTAATAACACTGAATTCAACATTTTAAAATGATCAAAATGGCAAATTTTATGTTGTATTTTACCATAAGAGAAAAAAGATAAAAATACACCACACAGAAATTCAAATAACGATAAAAAGGGCAAAAAAAAGAACTTTTCTGTTATGTGAATTTTACCTGGATTAAAAAAAATACTGTGGCAAAAATTGTTAGTGATTCACCACAACAAAAGAGCAAAGGAGAGTCTACTACAATACAATCCTATCCTCTATGTAGAAAGTTAAAGTAAAAACGATTATCTACACATACGTTGTATTATGAACATCAAACTGCATGTTTTGGTCTGTGCTGTGTCTTTATGTGTAAATAAATCAAAGTAGAGGGGGAAAAAAAGCCACAAAGCCTGGACCACTGTGTGCAAAGAAGGAAAACCATTTAGGGATTACATAGTCTCATTTAAGCAGAGATTAAACTTCCAGGTTCCAGAACTGGCAAAGCTTGATTCAAAACAGAAACTAAGGGGTTGCCTGGTTAGCTCAGTTGATTACAACAGTGTTGGTAACACCAAGGTCAAGGGTTCAGATCGCCATATTGNACAAATCAAACCCTCACACATCACTGGTAGAAATGTAAAATGGTACAGCTGCTATGGGAAAGTTTGATAGTTCCTTAAAAAGCTGGATATAGGATTATCACAAGACATTCGATTCTTAGGGATAACCAAAATAAGTAAAAACAGGTGTTCAAAAAAAACTTGTACACCAATGTTCATAGCAGCTCTATTCACAATAGCCAAAAGAGAAAAGCAACATAAATGTCCATCAACTAGTAAACAGATAAAGTATGGTATTTCCATATAATGGAATATTATTCAGCCATAAAAATGAGTAAGTACTAATACATGATAATTACAGATGAACCTTGAAAACATTATGCTAATTAAAAGAAGCCAGACACAAAAAGCCACATACTGTGTGTTTCCACATTTAGGAAATATCAAGAACAGGCAAATTCATTGAGACAGAAAGCAGATTAGTGGTAGCCCAAGGGCTGGAGGTAGGGAGAATGGGGAGTGACCTTTTAATGAGTCTGGGACTTCCTTTGGGGATGACAGAATGTTCTGGAAGTAGTAGTAGTGATGGCTGCACAAGATTGTGACTGTACTAATAACACTGAATTCAACATTTTAAAATGATCAAAATGGCAAATTTTATGTTGTATTTTACCATAAGAGAAAAAAGATAAAAATACACCACACAGAAATTCAAATAACGATAAAAAGGGCAAAAAAAAGAACTTTTCTGTTATGTGAATTTTACCTGGATTAAAAAAAATACTGTGGCAAAAATTGTTAGTGATTCACCACAACAAAAGAGCAAAGGAGAGTCTACTACAATACAATCCTATCCTCTATGTAGAAAGTTAAAGTAAAAACGATTATCTACACATACGTTGTATTATGAACATCAAACTGCATGTTTTGGTCTGTGCTGTGTCTTTATGTGTAAATAAATCAAAGTAGAGGGGGAAAAAAAGCCACAAAGCCTGGACCACTGTGTGCAAAGAAGGAAAACCATTTAGGGATTACATAGTCTCATTTAAGCAGAGATTAAACTTCCAGGTTCCAGAACTGGCAAAGCTTGATTCAAAACAGAAACTAAGGGGTTGCCTGGTTAGCTCAGTTGATTACAACAGTGTTGGTAACACCAAGGTCAAGGGTTCAGATCGCCATATTGGCCAGCAGCCAAAAAATAAAAAACTAAAATGAATTCTTAAAGGAAAAAAAAAAAACCCAGAAACTAAGAAAAGTTGGAGAAGATATAACAATTAACAAAATTGGCATTTCAGACTATTTATTAAAGAGTAAAGAAGAGACTTCTGAATATGATATAAAATACAGAAGTACTAACTATAGCAGTGATAAAATGGGGTAAAATGTGCTATCTACTTTAAAGACCACAAAGCCTGTTTCTTCTAGGCAACTGTAGAAATAAAACGAATAATTCCATTTATTTGTCCTAACACGTTCCATTAAAGTACTTGAAATTTTCTGTAAGAATGACCTTTCTACTTCTTAATAAAAACTCTTATGGTAGAGAAACAAGATGGAAATTTCTAGGAAAAGAAGTAAATTATGAATGGATTAACAGGAAGCCTGAGAACTGTTTGCCTAAGTAAAAAACTGACATAAGTAACAACCATTAAAAGTAAAAAAGAAGAAAAAGTAGAGATACGGTGTTTTTTTAATGACATTATTTATATTATCAGATAAAATACTTTGAGGATCCAAAAAACTCAAATGCCCACTGAAGGAAAAGATCCATAACAGGCACTCAAATAATGTGCTACAGAAATACTAACAAAGGAGGGTTCAAATGTAAACTGAGACAAAACTAAAGGAAAGTAGGAACTATAGCTCTGCCAGAGACCAAAAATATGGTGAGAAACTAAAAGGAAAGGCGGGGGGGGGGGGGGGGGGCC